ATCCAGAGCCAGCTGTTGCTGTAAAGCTGAAGCCAAAATACCTTTTTTTCCCTAGGAATTTTTTCCTGCGTATTTTGGTTTAATTTTGAATGCTGCTTTTTACGATTTTCTGTTATCATTCCTGATGTTATGCTCTCTTAATTAAGCTAAAGAACCTGCTGTTGATAGTGTCTGTCAGGCCTGTACAACTGTTCTGCCAAATTAGTAGCAGAGCTTCCATTAATTACAGGGAACATGGCTGGGGGGCCTCTAAGTGATGGCAAATGATGCACATTTAAAGGATTAAAGATGATGCACTGATGTCAAGGTTGTTGCTCTTCCTGTCGCTTTGGGCTTCTCCTTTGTTTGGACTTTCTCACTTGCAGACAAATGCATTCTGATATGCAATGGGTAAATCAGTTCTAGTAAAGCTTTCAGATTTTTTTGTATTTCTGAAACTCTGTTGGTATAAATATAGTTCTAACATAAGAGAGAGAGAATTTCCTTGCGTCATTCCAGAGAGGAGAGTCATCCAAGTGGATTTCCTGTGGGTTGGGCAAATGTATAATCTGTTGGAGTTCTGCTTGGCAGCTGATTTTCTTCACATTTCTGTGGCTGTGACTCATGGTGACTGGTCTGTTATATTAACAGAAAGATACATCTGGGGACTACAGGAAAGCGCTCCTGCTCCTTTGCGGTGGAGATGATGAGTAACGGGGACGGTGACATGAAGGATTTGTTGTACTCCAGCTTTGCGGCCCTTTAGTTAGCACGTCTAGCTAAATTTTTGTATCTTAGTGCTTTGTGGCTGTTTGAATTTATACTAGTATTGCACTTATTAAAAATGAGCATATTGTTATCTAAGTGATAGCTGATCCCTCCTCTTCCTGACATCCCAACTTCCAGGAATTTCAAGTGCCTTTTGTGAGTACGCAAGAGTCATCTTCAAGGAAGATTGGTACTGAGCACAGAACCCAGTTCTTTGCAAGCGTTTTGCTCAAATAGGAAAAAAAAATCATGTATTTTACTAATAATTTGAAAATCATCTTATTTTGCTTTTATTCCTTAAATCTCCACTGGATGTTAAGCTAGCTCTAACATTGCAGATGAAGAAAACATATTCTTTGTATGTAATATTTGAATTAATTTGCTGAACTTAAGACAAGCAATCATTGGAAACCTAAAGGACCAATAAATTTTTTTTCTCCCTTGACACAGTTGTATGTGGTTTTTAACTCATGAAGATCTGCTTTCCCTTTCATATGATTCCAGTGCCTCCAACTGTTGGTGTATTTTTTCTACTATTATGCAGACTTCTAAGTATATATGATGATTTGCAGCTGTTAATCTTTTTGTTCAGTCTGGTATATGGGTGCTCTGGTGATGCTGCTGTTCAATATAGCTGGAACATCAAGTTATTGGTACTTGCTAGTTATTGAATTCTCATTTGTAATATTTTGTCTTTTTCTTCTTGTCCAAAGCTGGGAAAAGGAAGGAGAGCTGTTTGTACAGTGCCAAAGTAGAGCCGATATGCTGCATTTGTAGCATTGATGATTTCTGGGATGAAAGCAGGTGAAGAAGAGGTGGGAAGGCAGTGATCGGTACTTCAGGGATCTTGGGTGAAAAGAAGATTGCAGCACCACTCTGTCACCAGGTTAGCAGGGAACAAAGCACAGTGCGAGAGAAGCACCAGTCCGTTATACGGGCTGCGTAAATTCACTGCTTCAGGTCACGATTTGTGTCTACCTCCAAAAATTAAACTGACGTGTGTGGAGAAGAGAGACTTCTGTTTAATGCGTTATAAGGTCTAATCACCATGGTTCTGAATTTGTATTATCAGTTAGTCACATACAACAGCTGCAGAAATTTTAATAGTCCTGTTGAAATTGATTCTTCACACATTATTAAAAGCTTTAAAACTTTCATATTGATTAAATGTAGTTTTAGTTTTTTAATATTGTAATTCTGATTTATTACTGTCATGATCTCTTGCTAGCAAGTGCTTGGTTTCCTATGTAGAATATGAAAGCTCTTTTCATAAACAAATCCGTCAACTAAAGCCTAATCTACTCTAAAACCTTCTTTGTCTTCCATTCTCTCACACATGTGCTTACTCTTCCCTGCTCATGCACACTTACTTTCACTCTTCCCTGCTTCTTTTTGTCAAAATTTAGTGCATAGAGACTTAAAACTAGCACAACTGATTTTTTAAATTTTTTTTTTTAACTTTAGTGAGTCAGTGAAATGCTTTCCTCTGCTCTTTCGGGACAGTTTATTGGATTCTTTGCTGTATGTGGGTGTGGTTTGCATCTCCAGCATAGGCATCAGCTGATGTAAATGGTGCTGCTCCGGTCCTGCCGTGCCTTCTTCAGGCTGGATATTCCCACCTCCCCTACCTGGTGCCCTTGAAGCTCTTCTGACCCTTTGGGTGATCTGACCCAGGGCCCTGGGCTGGCAGAAGCCAACCACAGCTACAGCTCACTGGGGCGTTTGGTAAGAGGGCTGCTGGTGGTGGGGAGGGAAGGGCAGGATGAGGAGAAATATTGTGGAAAGGGAGATGGGACGCAGGCTGGGTTGCTCCAGATTGGCGTCTGCTGCCACAAACTGCACCTGGGATTACAAGAGCCTCACAATTTAGGCAAAGGGATTCCTCAAATTGCTTTCTGCAGGTACAGACCCAAATTAAGCACTTTAGGCTGCGTGGCAAGTCAAAGGTGGTGCTTGAAATCAGATTGCATGAATCTTATGACTGTGCCTAATCATAACTTTTCCTCTTCCGCTTTTATTTAGCTCTGAGGAAAATGGACAGAATCCAGCTGTAGAGAAGCTACATGAAGCATATTCGAGATTTTATTCATAAAGGTTTAAATGCAGTCAGTCTGGATTTATCTAAGCTCTTTGTATGTATCGCTACTGTACAAATGACAAACCTTGTATGTCTATACTGAGTTAGTGGTACAGTATTTTAGAATATGATCAAACGTTTTCCAAGTAATGTGATGTAATGGTTGTAATATTCAAGCAGTAATATTTTTATTTAGATCTTTAGCTGTTTTTCAGAAGAAAAAACTTTGTTTTCTTCTCTTCTTTCCTGGGATTAATTTTCAGCATTTTTTGATTTTGCTTTTTGTCAAGCCTTTCTAAAATGTGTTAGCAAGGAGCATTAATTTGCAGTTAGTCTTCCTTTAATAACGTGGCCAGCTGCACATACTAAAGTCCAGTTCAGTGTATTGGGCAAAAAAAATGATGGAATTTGCTAGCATATTTACTTGCTTATTTCCCTCAATTTTTGTTGATGCATATAAAAATACGATTTTGTTTTATTTGGATTCATGATAAATGTTCATCAAACTAAATTGAGCTGCTTATTTTCTTGTTAGATAATCCAGCCATTTAGCAAAAATATTATGAAGGCCTTCAAGTTTAAAACTGAAATAGAATGAAAGGCTTGTCTTGAAGCATGGAGTTAATTTTAAGAATTAAACAGGATTTTGTGGATGTATATTGGTGGATCACCTGATGTGGTGCAGTTCATATTGTTTATTTTTCCCATTTCAACTCTGACAGCTGGAATTGCTGTGGGCATTTATTTACCCAAATCTGTCTTGAAAGCAGTAATTTATGAATAAGGGAATACTGTGTTAAAAGCATCAGCAATAAAAACTTTTCTTCTTTTTGGTTTAGCGTACAATACGTCTAGAAGTCATAGATCAGCCAAGTACGTTCAGTGTCTTGCTGAGTCATTACACTGAAGTGTCGGTGACACCTTTTGTGTTCTGTATAGGGGGTTTTGGCATCCTTCAGAAATGCTGCTTGGTAGCATTCAAAGCTTGGTGTTTCCTTCCCCTGACCCTCTGAAAAGGAAGAGGCTGGCGAGAGGTGGGGCTGCTGCACCAATGACAGCATTCAGAGTCACAACTTTGGGGGGGCCGGTTAGCTCAGTCGATTGAGCGTGGTGCTGATAACACCAAGGTCGTGGGTTCAATCCCCATGTGTTGCCTGATCTAGTTGAGAGGCGTCCCTGCCCATGACAGGGAGGTTGGATTAAATGATCTCTAAAGTGCCCTCCAGCCTAGGCCAGTCTATGATTCCACAATCTTTGTTTCAAGTTTGTTGAAGAGTGATTGAATATGAAGAAACACAATTAGATCAGTCCTTAATTCAGATATTGTTTTTTTCCTGTTGAAGTTGTTAGTAGGGATGCTGACTTTAAGGATGACTTTTGTCTTGTCAAAAGTATAGTGGAGTACCTCAGAAATGGGACCTTTCAGATCTCAGTAGAGTTTGCCTTTTTTTTTTTTCATTTTGTCACTGTTATATACAAGAAACCATTTACTCATGATGTAAAATCCCCCCTCTAATGCCTAACACAGGCAAAACAGGCAGGCTCTTTTTCCTACCATTTGGACAAGCGCTGAAGGTGCAGTGGCACTGGATTTCTTTAATTGGAAATTATAATTTTCTCTTCTGGAATGAATATTTTCTGTATCTTTTGTGCAAGTTATATATGAAAAATTAGTCTTCAGAAAGATTGTATTAAAAATGGTGGTGTTGTTGAACAGAATCCAGAGCCTGGAACAGGTATGTGGAATGTGATTAAATAGCACTTTGCAGCTAACTTGTTCAGTATCTGTGGTTGCTTACTACTGACACTGCATTTCTGACATGTAAGTGAAAGACTTCATCTCTTTTACTCAGTAAATAATATAATCTTACAGTTACTTTTATCCCTGTTCAGCAAAGCATCTACAGAAACATGAAACCTCTTGGAGGGGTCTCTGGGAGAGCCATCTTGTTGTTGGGGGTGCTGTGAGCCTCCCAGTCACAACCTGTGAAAGCTGAATCCGTGTCCCACATCTGTGTGAGCGCTGGCTTGGGAGATGGGGAGGAGTGAGCTGGTGCCTGCTGGCGTGGCTGCGCGTCCTTCCTGCAGGTGGCACCACGCGAAGGCATCCTGAATCGTTCTCTCTTGCGCTGTTTGCAATTGACTGTTTTCAGAAATGCAACCGCTGGAGTATGCTGGGAACACAAGTTCCATCCCAAGCTTTACTGGTTGTGTGCTCGTGTCTGGCTGGGTGCAGCACTCGTGGGTCTTCCGCTCTCAGCTGGAGCTGGCACCTGAGAGAGAGCAACTGTAGTTTCCTCTCTATCTACCCAGCAAGAATTCCTCCTTGCCTGACAGTGCCCTTTCCTCAATCAAAAAGTAAATAAACCACAAAAGGTGTTGTTAATTGTGACTTGGAGAGCTATTTCCAGCTCTAATCAGCACAAAGACCTAATTGTAAGGTTTTTGGTGTTTGCAGTTGAAGTGCCAGTTCCTCTGTGTGCGGATGCAGTGTGCGGGTTCAGTGCCCGTTTCCCGAACGGGCCGGGAGTCGGGTGCTCTCCAGGCGGTGCCTGTGCCCTTCGCGCTGTGGGCAGTGGGTGGTGCTGTTGTTCCAAGTAAGCTCATGCACACGGTGGTGCTCAGGGAGATTTCATTCACCCGCAAATTGCTTACTTTTTTTTCCGTACTTGTTTCAGATTGCTTTCTCTGGTTTCCTTAACCTAAAGCAGGCATCAGAAACTTTAATTATTTTGGGTTTAGGTTCCTTTAATGTTAGTCTTGTTTTCAGTATAAAATGGGTACACACTAATATGTTGGAGTATAACAAACAATATCCTTCATTAGAAATAGAAACTGAGTTTATGCACGTGATGTATTTCTTAGTGTAGAACGTTTACCTTCTGCAATCTGAACATACTCTTCCTCCCCAGTCACAGTTAGAAGTTAGAAAATACATCTTTACTCAACTCATGCATTTACAACTTGCGAGTTTAGTATAACAGATTTTTGCTGTGCAGTATTATTTTATAGAAAGAGATTTCTAACTTGCAGTTCCTGAATTACCACCATGCTTTAGTAAGCCTGGGGCATCCTTTCCTATCTTTCATGTACCCATGTAACTGCCCTGCACTGTCCAGAGAAACTGGAATGTTGTGGATGATCTGATGGTTTAGGAAGTAACTGTATACTTAGCAGGAAAAACTCAT